AGAAAGCTAAGGTCTCTCCCAAACTCTCGTACTCGTAAAACTCTTCTTGGTCGACAAATTATTAAAGCAACTCAATGTGATTATGTTGTTTAGTAAACAAAAAAAAAAACTCAGTGTGATTATGCGAAACCAAATTAAGTAGTCTCCATGATCGAAGACTGTGGCGTCAATAGCTTCTGCAACTTTGGTTTAACGGAACTCTCTCTCGCATGACAATGCTTCGATCATGAATTATTATTGTCAACCCAGAGAAGAAAGAAAATCTAATCAACTTTGGTTTATATCATTTTTGTTGTTGTTGCTAATAAGCTTGTGCCAATTTTAAGTTGAGTATATATTTGATTAGATTTTTTTTTTATTTTGGTTAGCGTTAGATTAGTTGTCGTAGAATTTAGGTTGTAGATGTTTTTGTTGTAACTGTACTTTTTTTTTGCTGTGAGAAAATTCTACAATTTTTAAAATCATAAAATAGTTGCTTTAGAAAAAAAATCTAAAACATTAACAACCAAAAAAATCAAGGTTGTAGAGAGTAACTTTTATATGAGACCTACTAAAATTTTTAAAGTCTGATTGGTAAACAAATAGTGTAAAAAAACTTTAAAGAGTGGTAGAAAATTTTTAAACCCCAACCAACTACATACTAACTTAATAATCTCGACGCACTTAATCTCCCGTTTTCGAAACATGAAATATGGAAAACTTTTAGTCAATAAAAAAAAAAATTCAACTATGTTGACAGTATAATCAAATATTGAACGATTCAACGTTTCCGATTAACTATCCTCGTCGAATATATAGTCGATATTGGACTCTCTATATATTTTGTGATAAAATGTTTAAAAAATTCAGAGAATCTGTAACAAAATTGAGCAATGGCTAATTTCATGATTCTCTATAAAACACTATCGAGTTTTCTAAACCTTTCCATCAATGGTATAAATCTTAACATTCATACCAAACAAAAAAAAATGTTTAAAAAATTAACACAAAAGTACAGTTTTTCTTTAGAAATATGATCAAAAAATTGTATTCATGATACTCGTTTCTCTCAATAAATCGAGTGTATAACACTAAAAATTATTCTCTATGAGTTAATTTATGGGACAAGGACAAATTTTGGATATTTTTTTCTCAAAATTATGATTTTTTCAGATATATTCAGATAAAAGATAGTGAATATGTGACATACTGGGCTTTGAAAAATAATGGTCCATTATTGTTTTCTGACGGTACGTAATCGCATGGCCTTTATAGCTCTCAACTACAGTATTATTATAAATGGTTCATTGACAAGAAGACCCTTTATTCTTCTAACGCCTTTTTTATTGCTAGTAACACAGTTGATGCTTTTATTTAAAAAACAAAAAACAAAACAAACTCAGTTGATACGAATCAGAATTTGTTACTACTATTTGGTTAATGATGCACGAAAGACCAATTTCGGATCATAGCCGTTGGATCCAGCAAAAAAAAAGAAATTACCCACATGCATGGGTGGAAAATCCCCATGGAGAAATCAGTGGCTGCGATTTAACCTCGTGATTATAGTATTTGATACAAACAAAATATCTCACGTGTGTATTCCACATTGGGATCTTCCATTAGATTCCATTACCTCAGAACAAACGACGCGCACGTTAGCAGAAAACTCGTTTCTTCGCTAATTTGCTCCCGGAACAGACTTGTTGGGATGATTACTTTACCATTGTGAGTTCCGAGTTAAAAAGAAAAATAGTGAGAAAACAAATGCAAAGAAATGTTATTTTCTTTGTAACGTCTTAGGGTCTGAATGGTGATAAAAAATTATGCAGGGCGGGTAAGATAATTGTATAGTGCGGTACGGTACAAATATGGTTCATACGAAAAAAGTAATATGCGAATTAAATGCGGTTTGTGTAAAAAAATCGGGACAGAACAATGTTTGATTGGTGAAAAAAATAAGATGCGGTCCAAGATAATTGTTTGATTGGTAGAAAACGATTAAAGCGGTTTGATAGATAATTCAAAAATACCAATTTTACAAAATCTTTTATTAAATATGTTCAAAAATGCC